ATAAACATATCTGATACAAAGACTAATTTAAAGTAATTCTTGCTTAACAAAGAACCTAAAGCTAAATTCTTACGAATATCCGGCACATGAAGGACATTGTTGAGGCTAAGTTCCTTCCCCGATGTGATCTTTAATATCACTTTGCATTGTCTTTCAACCTTTGAAGTTGAGGAGTTCTCCATGAACAACTTTTCTTCCTCAGTTGGAGTATAGGAAGTGAACATTCCTCTATCGGCACATATGTGACGAGTAGCACCCATATCAACCCACAATTCCATAGGGTTTCCGACGTTATTGCATTTAGATACAATCGCCGAGAAATTCATGTCTGATATACCATTTGACATGGTATCAGATTCAGTGATATTCATTTGGGTTTGCTTCTTTGATTTTCGATAATCGACAGAACGATGTTCAGCCTTTCCACAATTATAGAAATTTCCCTTGAACTTCTTTGTGTTCTTTCTTGAAGATTCAACAGAATGCTTCCTCTTTTTGCTTTTGTAGTTGGATTCCAACACATTGGCCTTTGCTTGTGGTATGTTGTTTCCAACACGCTTGTCCAAACTACGGTTGTCTTCTTCAATTATCAATTGAATCACAAGTTCTTTAATGTTCATCTCTTTGCGCTAGTGTTTGAGATAGTCTTGAAGTCCCTCCACATAGGCGAGAGTTTCTCAATGATTGCAACTTCTTGAAATGATTCAATTAGAGACATATTCTCCGCATGAATATCATGTAGGATAATTGTAACTCTTGCACTTGACTGATGACGGTCTTAGAATCTACCATTTTTAGTCTAAGAACTTTCCCACAATGAAATTTTTAGTTTTGGAGTCTTCAGTTTTGTATTTCTTTTCCAAGTACTCCCATAGTTCCTTTGCGGATTTCTTGGAACTATAAGCGTTGTACAACGAGTTGTCCAATCCATTCAAAATGTAATTCTTGCATAGAAAATCTGAATATTTCCATGCATCTAGAGTAATTAACGATGTCATATTGTTTTCCCCTTCTTGTGCGGCAGGATCATCTTCATTCAAGAATTTGGCTAAGTTGAGGGTCGTGAGATAAAATAACATTTTCTATTGCCATATCTTAAAATCAGTCTCATTGTATTTCTCCGATTTCTCTCAATGTGGAGTAGAATTGGTAGGTGCATTCACAACCGGATGAATCACCACATTAGGAACATTTCCTTCCGAAATTCCCGTATTCGAAGTTTCATTCGAAGTAGTATTGATCTTGAAAACATAAGTATTCTGTTTGCACAAAACAGAAGATTAACAATCAATAAAAGAGTAGAAGAAGTTAAACCAACGTATGATTTAACCGAAGATTAAAGTCACTTCAACAAAATTCGACTTAAGATTATTGGAAAATTTCGTGTATGAAATGACAAACAACGCAGGAAAATTCTTCAAATTATCTTTAAAATTCTGTAGAAATTTCGGCGGAGTAATGGTGGGAAATGGACTCCAAATAAATTCTCAAAAAATATGCAATATAGCAGCAATAATATCAAAGTCGAGGCAGGTGTTCAACACTTTGTCCTTGAGTCAAATTTGCCCCGCAACAGTGCCTACGGTTTATGGCAGTGACCTCCCAAGAGACAATGATTATCTTCTTGTGTGAGTAGTACTACAACACAGAAGAAACGGCGAACCAGAACTTGGTTTACGAACTCTGGTATGCAAAGTGAAGAAAACTAGAATTTATGCAACAAGAATGCAAGAATTTGGATGAGAAATGAGAAAAAATGAATGCTATATGATTGTATATCATTGATGTGAAGATTGGGACATACCTAAGGGTCCTATATATAAAAGATGATGAGTTGTGAATGAAATGTCACGCCCCAAGCTTAGCAACTCTTGCCAAAGGTCGCACCATTCACTGTCGCTAGCCTATCGCCCTCGCTTCGCTCAAGCGATAAAAATCGTGACTTTTTCGCTAGCATATCGCTCGAGCGACAGACCAGCCATAGGTTAGCAACAGGCTTAGTCAATTTTCCAGACAATTTTTTCTATTTTCTTCCCAACTTTGGACCTAAATTTTTCATTCATCCGGAATTGGTTTTGAGATTTCAAATATACCATGACGATCTACTCGACGAGTAGAACAAGTTGGTCTATTTATTTTTGTAATTTGACCATTGAATCAAGTCCGAATATTTGGCTGAAATTGATACAAAAGTCACTTTTCCCAAGTTTTGGTTTTATTACTTAACTAAATTTCAATCTTTCAAATCAATTTCCAACAACTTTAAATCTTGAGTCATTTAAAAGGTGATATATTGACATTACACATCCACTCTATTTATCTTTCTTATAATATCAGATGTTGAGATATCACATTTTGAATGTCTAAAAGTTCGAAATGTCATGATTTAAATGGACGACCTTGTAGTCACATGTGCTTATAGGACCTTCATACTGAACATTTTTCTCGAATATTTTAATTAAGCATTATTGAATGGTAAAAGCAATAATCAAATTAGAAAATAGCACTAATATTCTAAATAGACCCATCGTGTGCTAGATGTGGAGTTATATTGGAGAAAATGAGACAGACAATGAAAGAATACCCTAAAGCGAAGGAAATATGATTTTTGATTCATCTGGAGAAATTTTCTGATTATGAAAATTACCCAGGCTCTTTTACAAATTGGTTAAGTTGAAATTTACTATAGCAAGGATGCAATACAATTAGGATGCATTTGAAATCATGAAATTTACATGGAAAGAAAATAAATTCTATACAATTCAATTGTCTAGAAATTATTTGTATGAAAATTATTAATTAAATGTATTTGATTGATTTAGTTTCAACCTAAAAAATATTATACTTGTCCATTTTTTATTGATAGGTAAATGAGAGAAATGTGATGGATGAGAGAGAGAAAAATATAGTGAATTACTTGAAAAATAAAAACCACCTCTGTAAAGAAAATATTTTCATTGTTTTCAAAGAAAATATAATCACGTGATTAAAAGTAGGAAAATCTTTTTCGTGGACAAAATTGTCAATCAAACAACACAAAATTATGAAATTGGGTGAAAAAAATACATTTTTCATGAAAAATATTAACAATCAAACACACTCTTAAGAATAATTATATTTGGACCTCATTTTTGTTAATAGGTTCACATCTTCATTGCAATTCATAAGTAAATATCTCATGATATTTTTTATTTCTAATTCCAAGTAGACTGGTTTATGTTTGGGTTAGGGATGGTAAATGGATGAGTCGGGGTCAGAACAACCTCCCCTACCCCACTACCCGTTTAAGGCAAGGCATGGGGCGGAGGATGGGTTGCTCTGAAAGTAAACTTATAGATTGATTTTTATTTTTTATTTTTTTTAAATTTTTCATGATTCATTTTATCGTCCGCGTTCATTAAAGTGAGACAATAATATATTTATTGATTGATTTATTTATTTTTAAAAGTTAAATTATTCAAATATATTTGGTAAACTAAAACTTTTATTATTTATCATATTTCTTAGAATCTTAGCCCTTGTTTGATCTCTAAAATTTTTTTTTCAAAATACATTTTTTATCTCTTATTTTCAACCACATGTTTTTCAATAAAATAATATTACATGCAAATCTAAAACTTTTCCTTATTTTTTAACCACACATTCTCCATCAATTTAATATTTCAAAATGCATTTTATACCAAAAAATTGTGCTCAAACAGAATATTAGTTGTCATCTTCTATTAGAACTAATGAAATTTCGTGTAGTTTTCTATTTAAAATATTGAATTCTTAAATAAATTTAAAAAATTTTAAAATTAAACGGGGTGGGGCCCTTGTTACCCATACATGTCCCGAGGTGAAGTCTCCCATACTTGAATATCCGATTAAACGGGTAATCTTCACCCTGCTCGGGGCGAGGCCCAACAAGTATCTAATTTTTTTGCCATCTCTAATTTGTGTTTTATGTTAAGTTCTTGTTTGATCCATATTCCTTAAAAAATATTTTCTTTTTTCAAATTCATTTTCAGCTATACATTCTCTCAATAAAATAATTTTTTACACGTAAATCTAAAATTTTTCTCTACTTTTTAACTCCATTATCCAAAAAATCACTGTTACAAAATCTATTTTCTAAAAAAATGGGGCTCAAATAACAACCATATATCATCAACATCAACAGATTAAAAAGGTTTTCATAATTTACAGATAGACAGCATTCAAATTCTAGTCTATGTTATGTACCATATGAGAGAAATCAAAAGAGAAAAATTCGCAGAGCGAAATGAAAACCCTCAACCCCGTCGCCTAATTATAAGGTACCATCATGTTAAAACTCCTGTTTAATGCCCCATTAAAAGGAATTTTTTTGGAAAAAATGAATTTAAAAAAAAAATGTATGGTTAAAAGAAAGAGAAAAATTTTGCGTTTACTTACAAAATATTTTTTGTGAGAATGTATAGTTAAAAATGAATTTTAGAAAAAAATCAATTTTTTGAAGATTGGTAGACAAACGTCGAGCCCTATTGGGCCACTTCTATTAAGTTCCGAGATCTGTAATCCACCGTCTTCAAAAAATATATCTTGCGACTTTTTCCAAGATTTCCTCTTGAATGAACATCTTTTAAACCTTCAATAAAGATTGTTTTAATAAAAAATTTGTTGCCTGTGTTACGTCTATCAAAAATGGTCCTTCCACGGTGATTCTTAGTCTATCTAAAAGTATTTTTCCGACCACGACTCTCCATTTAACTCACAACTTATGACATTGGCAAGGAAAGCAGAGTGTCATGGATCTAGAGAACTCCCCTACCCATGTGGCATGACAAGATAGCTTATTGCGGGTTTATTGCTATATTTCTCGGAAGTGCACTGACGATATCCCTTTAACAGGTTTGGATGGCATGCTTTCTATCCCTATGTTGTGCTTATGTTGCATNTCAATTTCACAGATTGTTTGAAATCTGGAAGCATTCGCGAAGATGTTGAGGGGATCAAGGGTGTATTCGCATTTGATTTACTCATCTTTGTTTCAACTTTTCTTCAATTTTTTCTGGAAAATAAATATTAAAAATGGTTCAAGAAAACAAAATTAATTTTAAATGTACATAAATAACTAACCATAAATACAATAGTAACAATAAAAAATTTACTCTAAAAAATTTGAACTTGTACTGGAGATCTATATAATCTAACAAGAAAGAACATCCCACAAATTGCCTGATTTATCTAAATATAAGATCATATTCAAATTATTTACTGAGCAAATATACCTATTTTTATTCGAAAATGCAGCTTAAATTTTAAGAAAGTCCATGCAAATTAAAGATCAAATCTCAACAAATAAAAAAATCAATCCAAAGAATCATAATAGAAAAACAATAAGCAAGAATTCTAAAAGGAACCCAATAATTATAAGAACAACCCAGATCAATAATCAAACCAACAAGCATGAATTCTAAAAAAAAAACAAAAGAATCGAAACCCGGATCAGACTCATACCTCTGACTTTCACCCTCGTGATGAAACTATTTCGGAGCCACCAATGTGTGTACAACGGGAGGTAATGGAAAAATGAGAGAATGGAAGTGGGATAGGTTCAGATTGGTGATTTGTGTTTGAATTAATAATAATCATCAACAGCCGCTAGTGACGACAATGAAATTCATTGGATGCCTACTGTGACTGAGTTGTACACATATGTTGTGGGCCCTACATAAAGAATAATACGTTAAAAATAATTAATTAACTTCATAAATAATAATCAAATGTCCGGATTTTACAATTTTCAAGAATGTTCGCAACATAGCATTATACATATCAAGTTCTTGCCTGGTCGTTGAACTGACCGTTGGATCGAATTGACGAGTTTAATTCAATTCTGATAACGTTGATTTGTTCATAGAAAGTTTTTGCCGTCACTATCTGAAAAAAATATCATTAAAGAATATGATTCCAATGTGGTAGGCCACAATTGTCGACCAGTTTAAGGGGGATGACTTTTTCAATCCGTCAACATCAATCGACGTGCAATTAATCAGAGAGCTAAGGACCAAAAAATAAGGGATTTTTCTTAAAATAATTGATGTTTATTTCTTAACTTCTCCTAATAAATTAATTTTAACTCATAATTTTTTTTTTTTACATTTTAACTGTAAATTTCCAATAATAATAATAATAATTTTCTTTAAAAAATATATATGTTTTAGATGTTACAAATTAGCATTTATAAACAAAATAAATAAGGAAGAACTAAGTCCCTGTTTGTCTACCATTATTGAGAAGAAAATGGTGTAATGAATAGTATCTTTTGAAAAATGTGTGGTTGAAATTAAAAGAAATTTTATCGATTTATGTGTAGAATATTTTATTATTTGAATGTGTGGTAGAGATTGATTACAGTAGAAAACAATTTTTTGCAAAATGGTAGACAAACAGGGGCTAAGTTTAGATAACTGTGAGTTGAGCCGAACATGCTGCTAATGGAAGCAAAATTTCACTAAGCTCCCACTTGATTCATCTTCCCTTCATCTACTGCAACATAGAAAGCATACTTACATAATTTGAGTATGTTTCTACATTCTCTCAGGTTCACAGATGAGCCGACTTCAACAGACTTTTAGGTTGTATATCTTTACTTGGTTTAGTATGTTTGGTAGTATAATGAACAAGATTTAAGGTTCTTTTTCTTATCCAATCCTCACAGCCAAACATACCATTTATTTAGGTTAAGGTCAATGGAGCTTTCATGAGCAAAATTCAAGCCAAGTTCAAGTATTGTAATGTTATACTGCATATGCTAGCAAGAGTTAAGAGTCATTCTCAAACTGAACTGTTTGACCTCTCAAAACAATCTTAAGAAATACCTCTAAACTAATATTCACCAACTCAATCAGGTACTGCTCAACCCTAGTTATGACTGTAGAAGCATACTCATTGTAAGATTTTAAGATGCCTATTGATTTAAATGGTTCCCCAAGACTCTCATCATGTATTGACAGCCTATACCCAAACAGCATGAATCTAATAAAGATAAGTAACACTAAAATACATGCCAGTTCCACATCGAAAGATGACTAGTTCTTAGAAAACTGCTTTATTTTTCATGGAAAATGACTTTTATCACAATGCTCCCCGCAAGTCCAAGCAAGGACAGGTGTAAACGATCAGTAGTTCTTTCAATTCTTTTTGCTGGCCTAAGATATTTGATAAAGGCTGGAACTGTAACACTTCGAAGAAGGCAGAAAAGCAGACAATCAATAAATCACATCTCTTTTTCACCCCCAAATTGACCATTTCCAAACAAATGAGACACCCCAATTAATTGTTCCTCTCATGAATTCAAGAAAGCAACAACCAGCTAACACTGAATTTGACAACCAGATTTTGTCCAAATGTAGTAGATATGAAGTTTAATTTGACAACCAGCTAACACTGAATTTAATTTCATGAAAAACACATCTTCCTTAAAATCCTAAATTCATTACCCTAGAATTCATCAAAGATTAGCAACAAAACAATCGGTCAGTAGCAGAAGAACAAGTCTAACATAAAAAAACAGAAAGTAATAGAATGGTTTGAAACAAAGTTGAGCTACTAGCTCACCCAGACAATAAACACATGAAACTGAGCATTATTAGACAACAAAGTAAAATAGCAAACCGGGATCGAAAAATCTGAAATTACACTCAGAATTCTTCTTCCAACGGCGGTGGCCATAGGATTTAACTCACCAAAGTACCTCTCCTTTGCTCCTTCAGAACCGGGAGCAGCAAAACTTGGATAGGTTGTACTGCCTGATTTCTCCCATTGGCAAACAGATAAATTCCTGAAAATTCAATCAATTGTAACAGCATATAATTATTCTTGACTAAAAATGGATAGAAAAACAAGTTGAGGCTTGACAAAACTTAAAAAAGGGATTGAGGATATTACCTGTCAATGCAAGAGAGGATTCTCTTTTCCGTGAGTTTAACTCAATGGCGGGAATCAGAGGAAGCAGAGGATGGCTTGTCGGAGTAACCATCATGCTCCTCTTCATCACCCCGAATTCGTGCAGGAATGTGAAACCCAGAGAATCCACAGACTCCTGAGGCAAATCCAATGCCAGGTAGTGAAGATGGATAAATGGGAAACACTGCAGGATGATTCTGCTGTTGGCTATGATCAGCCGTAGCAATAGTGATGGCGGATGGGTCCATCCAAGCACGAACCGAAGGTGAGTCACTGGACTGAAGGGGTCCCCTCTGAGAAAGAAACTGGTTTTGGCCTAACAGCTGCTGTAACAATGGTTGAGGCACTGACGGAGAGTTGAACAAGTACCCTGCTGTTCCACCACTACCAGTCCCGGTGTCTCCACCGGCATTCCAAGCTGCAAGCCTCTGGAACCGGCTGATTTCTGACATCTGCTGGTGTTGTTCGGACCAGCCAGCAGTGCCATCAAAACCCAGCGGGGTGCCACTTAATAGGACTTGTGCTTGTGATTGAACATGTGTTTGTTCATCGTGGTGAATGGGATTTTGAAGCTGCTGTGGCTGTTGTTGGTTATGGTGGAGCAAAATTGGATCTTGAAGTGAATGCAAAGATAGCCTTAGATCTTGAATCTGGCTATTGGGTCTTGATAGCAAATCGGAAGTTCCGAAGCTCTGAAACTGCATAGCTGAGGAACTGGACTCAGCCGAAGCACCCAATGGGAAGAAGGACTTGATAGTATCCGCAATGGCATCGGAGTCCAACGAAGGGGGCAGAAAGCTTGGGTTCGGGTTCGAATTCACATTACCTCTCTGGTGCAAGCCTTGTTGCTCACTTTCACCTCCCAGCGTTGGCATTGCCCTTTTACTCGGCCCCGCAATATTAGTATCCAACTGATGCTGTTGCTGGTGATTTTCAGCAAACAGTTTCTGTGCATCTTCTTGCTCAAAACTTGCATCTACTGATGTACCAGTGGTGGGTTTCCAGGCCGGCAGTTGCGCTAGGTCGTCAATGGCTGCCTGAGCCTTCTTTATTAACCAATCTACCGCCTTACTCGGGCGGTCATAGCCAAGGCGGTCCTGTACATCATAGAACTGAATGGCAGTATGTGCGGCGAGGCGAACACGGCGGTCCCTTGGTCCTTTAGAGGTGCAGACTTTACTGTGCCGGTCTTTTCGTCCTGTGGACCTGATAATATGGCCACCTTGAACTTCCACTATCTCACCGCCTGTGTTCCTCAATCTTGACGACATTTGGCGGCGATGAGAATTTTCCCCTATCTTCTCTCGCAATCTTGCATGTTCTCCGGCCGGCTCCAGGGATGATGAATCCGAAGGATTGTATGAACGTTTCTTGGGTTGCTGCGGTGGTTGTGATGGTATTTCTTCTAAACTTCCAAAGATTGACGGCTGATTTTGCTGGAAAAACTCTGAAGACTGATGGAGCTGGTGATGGCCTTGAGACGACGGCGGCGCTACTGGTTGTGGTTGTTCTTCCTCCTCCTGGTGGCGGCGACGGTGGTGGTTTTTTTCCTCTCCCTCTTCTTCTACATTTCTTGAGATTCTAACAACTTGGTTCTGGTTCTGGTTCTGGTTCTGGTTAGGATAAAGATGACGATTCCTCAGAGGATCCAGACTCAGACCCTTGTTTTTCTTTTCTTGTTCCAGCTTTTTTCAAAACAACTTTTGCTTATTTTCAGAGATTGGCTTTTTTCTGCTGCTGCTTCTCACACTTCTCTCTCTTCTCGTTCTGTAATATCTGCTGCCTATCCCAAAAGTCTTTGCCATTCAAACTTACAAATTCCATCACTTTAAACAGAGAGAGGCGAGAGCACACCCCCCACCAAAGCCTATAAAACTCTAATTTCAGCAGCCTAACCCATCTTCTTCATACTACTACTCACTTTTTCACAGCTAAGCCTTTAATATGTACTAACAAAATCTGCAGGAATATAAAGAGAATTCTTGATTTACTCTAAGGCTAAATCAAGAATCCCTATGCAATGGGTTTTGAACCAAGAGGACAGGTTTTTTTCAATTAGCAGTGTTTGGTCAGAAAGTAGATTAAAGATTTCGGTAATCTCATCACTGGCCCTCTGCACCTGCTGTTTTTGTACAGCCCTATACAAATACTAATACCAGAACCAGCCCACCACCAATTCATCCTTAAATTCCTTCCCCATTGAGTTTCTCTACTAGATTTTTCTTTTTTTTTTTCTCTCCAAGACTTGAGTTGGGAGTTGTGGAGTAGAGCGGGGTGGAGGTGAGTTGGGGGGGGGGGGGGGGGGGGTAGACAATTGGTGCATTCTAAATTATCGCACAATTTTCTCACAAGATTTTAAAATTGTCAATTTAAAAATTATTTAAATTATAAAATTAACACAAAAATGTAAATAAATAAACTCTTACAATGACACAAATAGAACATTTCAACAACAAAAAACAAAAAAAAAAAAAAAACATTTAATTTCGTTGTGAGCACTCATCTTGAAATTTACTTGCTACTTAGATACTTCTAGCAGTAATGTTTTTCGTATTGCTTTGAAGCCATTTTTCCTTAAAAGGGGGCGGGGACGGGCGATAATCTAAGAACAATGTAATCTTCAGCAAAAAAAATGTAGTTATTATTTACATGATCTGTCAATCCTCTATCCCACTCATGCTGCTTTAGAAATACACCATTAATTCTCAAGAACTATCATTCTCTACTTACCTGAAGTTCCCTTATCTAAGAAATAGATTATAGATCATGCTACATGTACAGAATTTTTTTACCGAATCTTTTATCTACTACTCACAATGGGGATGGGGACCACATTGTTTAAATTTTTAAATACACGCGAGCCCCGCGTATTATGTGAGAGGGGGTAATCCATTATGTACAAACCTTTATGTACAAATGGATTAACCCATAGATTATATATCCAGGAAAAAAAAAACCTTACATTTAAGCACAGCCAAATGTGCTCCTAATCTTTTTCTTTGACAGAAATCCGAGCTTCGCCATTGGAAAGAATAAGATCTTTCATTTCTTTGTAAGCCTTGAGTTCCTCGAGTGCATCAGTTGTATTTCGAGGCTTGAAAAATTCAGAAGCTACTCCAATTTCTCTCACGACTTCTGGCTTAGAGGATTGACCGATATAACAACTAGAATTTGAGCTCAGAGGAGGAGCTGTTCTTAGCATGTGAACAAGGACCCCAACAGCTGCATCTTGAGAACTTTTGGCAGTAAAGGATGCTTGGGACGAATCTTCTGACTTTTTTTTTCCATCGAAATTCAGGCTGTAGAGCAAAAGAAAACAGAATGGCNTCAAGCCTTCGTTTGGTGCACATTTTTGGAAAAAAAAAATGCATTTTTACTGTTGATGTAATAGAGAATATGTGGTTGAAAAAGAAGGAAATGTTATTGATGTGATGAAAAATATTAATTTATTGAAAAATGTGTGATTAAAAATGAGTAAAAGAATGAGAATGAAAATTTTAATATTTGTCAAACAGGAGCTCGAACTCATTTTTAATAACGCAATCTCATAATAAAATACTTTGTAAGTTAACTTCTCATTCTTTGAAAACTTACTATTTTAAAATTCATTTTCTTACTTTAATAATGTCAAACATGGATTTAACAAAATAAGTGAGACAATCATTCAACTAGAATTATATTGAGTGCAGTCCTTTTCAACACATTTAAGAGCCACAAATTGTTGTTTAAAAAGTGTGAAGCATATGTAGCCCCATTTGGTGGTCATTGTTGAGAAAAAAAATTGATATTTTAAATAGTACTTTTTAAAGAATATATTTTTAAAAAATAGAAAAAAAAATTTTAATTTACGTATAAAATATTTTATTGTATGAATGTGTAACTAAAAAGAGAGTGTGAGAATAAAATAATTTTATTTTAAAGGGAGACGATTCGGAGGTTAGCCCCTTCTTGACCTTCTTTAACTTAAAATTATTTGTTTCTCATACTCATTTTCAATCACATATTCAAACAATAAAATATTTTACACGTAAATCAAAATTTTTTTTATTTTTTAACTATACATTCTCTAAAAAATACTATTCAAAATATTCTTTTCCCTTAATTTCTCTTTATAATGGTCATCAAACATGGGCTTAGATAGTAAGAAATTTTTTTTTTTTCCGTATAACATATATTAATTTAATTATTCATTAGAGGAAATTACATAAACTTTATGTTTACTTTTGTAACAGATTATTTTGCAATAACCTGTTTATTTTCCATTTAAAACCTGTTTTGCTGACATTATAGAATGTTGTTTTTGTTGTTGTTATTTTGCAAATACGATTGAAAAATAATTAACAACATAAATAAATATTTTATAATAAATTTGAAGCTAATTCAAAATTCAGTAAATATTTATGTTTCCAGATTTTTAATGGCATTTCTCTGATTTTTATTTTTTATACAACTTTTATACTATATTAGAATTAAATAATATTGTAATAACATTATTTATGCAAAAAAAATGGCACCGAAATTTTATAGCTTATATTTCTTATAAGTTTATATTTTCAATAAATATTTTAGATCAATTTCAATTTTTTTTCAATGGTTTTAATGATAAATCAAACTCAATAAAAAAAAAAATTATGAAATCACTTTCTATTGAAAAATNAAAAAAAATTATGAAATCACTTTCTATTGAAAAATAAGGTTTTTAAAATAAAACAATTTATTTTTGTCTCAAATTAAAATAGAAGAAAAATATAATCATATTTAGAACAAAAGAGAGAATGGCAAAATGGAGAACTTAGGGGTTTGTGACATATTTTCGATATGATTTTGATAAAAATTGATGAAAAATGTGAGTGAAAGTTCATAGAAATTGTGAGTTCATGTAATACGCAATTAAAATTAATGTTTGACCCGTTGAAAAGTTGATAAGTTAAATGCTAAGAGATGAGGGTTCGGAAATGAATCAATAAATAGAGAGATGAATAAAAATGGGGGCCTAAAAAATCGCAAAAGTTGCGAAGTGTCATTTTCCAGAGAGGGGCGGTGGTGGAACTAAATAGTTGTTGACATATGCGTTGATGTAATCCGAATTTATTGTTTGTTCATACACATTTGGGAGACAAGTAGGTCGTTTAGTCTCTTCAGTGTTTTACACGTTAGTCATAATTCATCGATTTTCAAGATCATTTATAACGTGTCACAGTCATGTTGATCGACGATATTGATATTCCTCGAATTGCTTGAACTCTCTCTGTCTGCTTTTATTCCATTTAGCTACACGTCATTTTTTTTACTTGAATTGCTTGGCCCTTTCATTTTTCACTCTTTTGTACCATAAAAATTTCCAAAATAGTCAATAATAATAATTATTTGGTTCTTTTACTTAAAAAATAAGCCATAGATGTTTTAATTTTTATTAATGACATTGTTAACAACCTCAAATGAATGCAAACTATGGAAGTTGTTACTTCTTGATGAATGTGAACCAATAAAAAATATTCTAAAAACGGTTCCCAATAAAATTGTCTACCTTAAAAAAGTCACATCACGTGTTACTAAAATTTGACAAAATTCTTGAATAGGGAGACGATCAGATTTGCGCTGTCCAGATTTCATTTCCCCAATATAGAAATTAAGTACAAATTTTGAAGCCTTTTAATCCTCCATTTTGTTTAGAGCATTGGACCTATGCAATTTTTTCTTTTTTAGCTAAAAACATTCTTTTTTAAACTTAATTTTATCCTTGAACTACTCAAGTTATGAATAAAATAGCTTCTAAATCATGGTAATGACAATACGTGTAAGCTTCGAAAATGTTTCCATTCATACATTTGAGATCTGCGCCTATGAATTGAAAGAGAAAGTGTGTTTTGATATACTTCTATATGAATCGATACCATAAACGACTAACATTCACTTTATAAAGTACGATGAATAATATCTGGTAGATATTGTACTGTTGTTGACAAAAAATTTAAGACACATATAACATACCAATGTCAAACGATTATAGTGCAAGTCATTCCTCGGGTGGCAACTTATATTATTGAAATGTAAGATCGGACTGAATCATTCCATCTGAAAGTCCACTGACATCCAATGAGAAAAGTCTAAACATTTTATAACGTCATACCATTACCATCATTCAAGTGACTCAATTCATCAAGCTTTAACCATCTTACATAAAATTCAATTTCGTCTAGTGAAGGAAGATTAAACCTTTTACAGCATTCGATCACGGTCATTTGAATGACTCAATTCCTTGTTATTAGAAAATATATATTTAATCAATGAAATTTAGATTATATTTTTAAGTGGAGATATTTTGTAGATGAATATGGGTCCAAGTGTCCAAGATTTTTAATGGACTTTGGGTGCATGTGCTGTGTAGGCCCAGCTAATGGGAAACCGGTCTCTCTCATGATAGCTGCCATTTGTGCTAAAAAAGAAAAAATAAAAGAAAATTCCGATTTTGTTAAGCTTCCTTTATTCCAATCCAACCAACTGCAATTATGTGGCTTATTGGCAAAATCTATGGAGTTGCTTCTTAATATGTTTGTCCATGACAAAATATATTGCACATATTCAAATTCCTCGACCATTACGAGGATAAGTAACAAGGCTGTGTAAACTTCACGTTTTAAGATAAATTGTATAATCATTACGAGAATTGTAGACTCTTATAATGGATAGAAAAATGGCAATCGAAGTATATTAGTAAATGACCTTTCATCATATTTGATGGCCAACCTCTTTGATACTATACACCTTACAACATAGGTCTAAATCATCTCATCGTGTGAACTTCGCCAATTAGACATTGACATTGACAGTGATGAATATATTTTAAAATTTTATCATGTGAAATTCATCATATCATTATAGAGTTCATACTAACGACACTTTATACGCAAGAAAATAAATCCGCACCATCAAATCCTTGTAGGCTAACTTAGAGTCGTTAGATTGACAACTTGGATGGTGCACCAAATAAAATACATTTAACTGTGTATCAACATCACATTGAATGAAGGGTTGAAATACTCGAATGTATTAGATGTCCAAGCAACACATACTAAAGGTACATCAAGTCGACCGAAAGAGTGAAAACGCATTTATGCATCAATATTTACTCAAGGAAGTAGACATAAGATGGAATTTTGTAGGTGAGAATGATAAGAAAACATGGCTTCCATTAGTGTAGCTTTATGACATATGCTAAGGGTGCGTTTGATTGCCAATATTTTTCATGAAAAACGTGTCATTTTCACCTAATTTCATACTTTTATGCTATTTGATTGACAATTTTTTTCACGAAAAATATTTTCCGTGAAAACAAGGATAATATTTTCTTCAAGGAAATGTGTTTTTTATTTTTCAAATAATTCTCTCTCTCTCTCTCACTCTCTCTCTCATTTATTCACCAATAAAAAATGGACAAGTATAATATTTTTTAAAATGAAAATTAAATCAATCAAACACATTTAATTAATAATTTCTGTAGAAATAAGCTCCAAACAATTGAATTGTCTAAAATTTATTTCATTTTCATTCAAATTTCATGCTCGCAATCAAACGCATGAGTGTTTGCTTAATAAGGGCTGTGGGATAGTGATATCAAAATAATTATAAGCCTTACTGCTTTTGCTATTGTTTCCTTTAGGTAAAGCCTTTACCTATGATCCATTTGCACGTGTTGTTTCTCTAATCTATCCAATTTTGTCTCTCAACTCATGATTATATGTCCACCTAGAAAAGGAAGAGAGATTTCTTTCCTTGTATCTCACACTAAGCTTGATTGGCTAAACTTTTAAGTGGGGCCTAATTATTGCTGCTACGCGAAACAAAGTTTAATCAAAGATAATTTGGGAATTTCATACTTACAACGTCGATTTTTCACTGATTTTTCGTGTGAATAGAGAGTTATCATTACGATTTATTTTATAGTTATCACAGGATTTATTTTCAACTGTAGATAATGTTTGGCTGAATAACTATTGCATCAGTAGCTTAAAGTAGAAGTGATATTTAAAAGTTGATTTACAGATTCCAGAAGGTGTTTGTTGGTACATCTTCAAGTTCAAAATGGAAGAGACGAAAAGAACAAAAAAATATTCACAGATTGCATCACTTCTTTAATGATTTAATGTTTTGCATCATTTGAAATTGCGATCGCTGGATTCATTATCTGCAGTGTTTTTGCCCTCGCCAACATCTTTGTTTTTTTGAATTTAAAGGACTGAAAGTGGAGAATAATACACTTCTGGCTGATGATGCATTAGAATCATGTTGGATCAATTGGAGTGATTCAGCAAATGGAGCTAGAGAAGTGTTCCCTCCAATGCTAACATGACGACTTTCTCCCATCGATGAAGATGAACTTATGATGAAGAAAACATTGTACTTGTAGTCTTCTCCATTTTTCTGTTTCATAGCTTTGACATAGAAAAATAGATCTTCGTCTAACGAAGTGTAAATTGGTTCTGGTAGTGTTGTTTTGTCACGCTGGAACATGAAGGTTGATTTAGAAACATAAATGAATATGTAGTAGTATAATAATTTAAAAATGTGTGTTAGATTGGTACCAGAGTTGTTTGGTTCATCAATATGAGTGGAGCATTGTAAAAACTTCTCAACAAATTCTCCTATGAGTGTAGCTTCAATAAATCCCTATGGATGTTGCAATTGAATAGTAGCTCTTGCTTTATGGTAGTATTGACGTAAAAGTTGGGAAAACATATATTGAACTAATTTCATTTCTTGTATATGCACTTATTACCTTGGAACAGTACGATCTTGAGAGTATTTGTAAGTGAGCAGTAATGAATTCCATCAAAGTCAACATATATAAGGCGTGTTTGGTAGAGATTAAAATTGAAAAATTAGCAGTTATGGTTGACTTTTATTAGACGAGTGAGATCCAATAACCACTATATTTTTAATATAAACATTAAAATATTTTCAAGTTTCAGAGGGTAAAATATAAGAACGATGTTACTTACAACTACAGGCGGAAGTCCTCATATATTTCTGATTTGAATTATATGGTCTTCCTTTGGAATGGATGCTCTTGAGGAAGTCATTGCATAGTAACATGTCTTTGTGATGATTTCATTTAGCTTTTGAAGATTTGCATCCATTCTTGTATCAGATGTGGTTAAAGCTACAAGTAAAGTAAGAAATACAGATAGTTACATTTATTGAACAAAAGCGAGCTTATAGATTGAAAATTGAAGCAAATGATTTCATTAAGTTGCTATTGAGTTATTTAAGAATTATAGGAGTTCAAATTCAGTTTACAAAAGACAATTAAGAAGTTCAACGTGTAAAAAATATTATGCCCTTGTTTTTTTAAAAATACATTTTTCTTTCTTCTTTTCAACCACACATTCTTCAATAAAATAAAGTAAAACAATAAACATACTGGTTTGTTTTCTTTTGACATATAAAAGTCAAAACGTTGCAATGTACAAATGAAGAAGTAAGTTACTTTCTGCTTAGTTGAATTAGAATCTCAACATTTGTTAAATGACATTTAGTTTTCAATTAATTAAGGTACGAGAAGACAGAATTACCTAAAAGAAAACAAGTTCTAGTAGATTTTTTTTTGGCGTGCCATGACTGCAGTAACTCAAATTCTTCCTTGCAAGGAATAGAACAATGTTTTGTCCATCATCATCTCCATGCAGCAATAGCAGCCCATATTTGCTCTTAATTCTCTAATTTTGACCCAATTTCTTCAACTAAATTACTAGTTGTTTCCTCATCTTCTTGACAAATATATGGGTTTTTCATCTGCTTCTACAATGCAACAATGAATTACTTCTGTTATCAAATAGTAGTTTAATTTTTGGTCTCATGTAGAATTCTACCAGACAAAAAAATTGAAAACGTATTGTAATAGATATTACCTTAGGCCTTCGTTAATTGGATGCAGAATCGAAGAGGTGGATAATCCATATGAGCAACGCAAAAAGATAATCCATATGATTCTTATAATAAGTTTAGTCACGAATTATTAATACATAGGAAAAGAGAAAATCGTTCGATATTAAGTATACACGAAAGGTACAATTGAAATTGTACAATTCATATAGAAGTTCCATCAGTGTGGCACGCTTTGTACACCATGAACATTAGGAGTTCATTATTCAAAAGCTTAAAGTCGCATGTATCACAAATTTGAAGTTATTTCTCTCGGCATAGTGTGCCCAACCTACGGTGAGACATCGTACGTAACCAATTGTTCTTAAATTTGTACAGACATGCCAATTGCGATGTGAAGAATCATGGGTTTGAACATTGTGTACAAATCTTAG